ATTGCTGCTTGTAGGGCTAACATTAAGGGTTGCTGTTGATATATTTGTATCTGTAACAGTAATACAGCCACCATAACCTGCAATCATTCCAATTGTATCTCCTGTAGCAGTTATTGTTCCTCTATAAGATGGATAAGTTATTGTTACTCTTAAATCAACTGAATAATATCTTTCTCCTCCTTTACCAATAATTCCACCCACATTCTGACCGCCAGTTATATCTGCGTTAGATGAACACCTATTTATGCTTCCTCGCCTAATATTTCCTATAATTCCTCCAGTTGAGATACTTCCGGTAATATTTCCACCGCTAATGCAATCACTGATTTCAAGCCCTGTTTCCGTATGGCTACAAGTAAAATAACCAATTAATATTCCGGCGTTTTCTTGTCCAATAATGTTGGCGTTGGTAATGTTTAAGTTTTTTAAATATTTTGAATTTCCTGTAAAATAACCTATAAACCCAACATTATTTGTTGTAGGTCTGTTAATATACAAATTAGATATAGTATATCCGTTGCCGTCAAAATAGCCAGAAAATGGAGTTCCGCTAATTCCTATTGGCAGCCATCCAGCACCACCATTATAGGAAGGGTCAGCAGTAGCAGACGCATCAATGTTTGCCCCTAATTTGTAGTATGCGGATAAGGCATATCCTGTTGTTCCTATTAATTCTAAATCTGAAAATGTTGACAGCACAAATGGGTCGCCAGATGTTCCACTTCCAGTAACCATATAACCACAACCTAATTTTTCCATTTTTTTTTTTATAAGAATATTTTTCTATGACTTATCTACATGCTAAATATCTTTTTTTCACCAGTAGGCCAATGAACTACAACGTTATCACCATTAGAAGTAAAAGGTAAGTTAGTAGCATCATCAATATAAAAAAGTAAACGAGAGGTAGAATCTTCACCGGTATGTAAATAAGCAACAATAGCACCAACATCTGCAACAGTCAAAGATTCAATGGTTACGTCATCAGCATCAAACACTCCAAGAGTACAATTTTTATTAGATAGGGATTCGGTAAGTGTATAAAGTTTACTTCCAGAAGGAAGATCCGAAACAAACTCATCATTTTCAAAATCAGGAGTATAAACATCAAGATCAACAAAAATTAACCTTATGTCATCATTAGGCCAATCTATTAATCCACTACCAAACGCCTCTTTGCATTTCAAATACATTGTGTTTGTCATTTTATCAACACCATTTATATTTTTAACATGGGAAACTAATTATTATTGGTTGTGGTACATCTAAATCATATTCAAATACGATACCAGGCAAGGTTGTTACACGCAAAGATACCGTATCAGTATTAGGATCTTTAGAAAAATGATCTTTGAAAACCATTGCAGTAATGTTACTTAAATTGTTTGAAGTGTAAACAACAACCCCGGAATCATCTAACTCCTCAATTTTAAGAATAGCAGGATGATTAATAAAATATGTATAAGGAGAAGCAGCAGATAAATTCAATTCAGGCTTTTTCATTATGAAAGTTTTAGCCCAATTGTACCAAGTAGAAGGTTGTCCGGGCTTCCATGATTGATATGATTTAGAATAATATTTTTTTAAGTTTGTCTTTTCAGGAGATGTTAAAGAATTAACCCATAATACAGCATCTTTAAAACGTATCCTTTGATTGATTTGGCGTAAGGAGGGCTGAATCTTCTCTTTGTAAGCAACACGCCTTATTTGTCTTCCATAGTGTAGTTGGTATATGGCATTGTCTTGTTTGCCTTTTTTTATATCTCCAAACACGTTTTGTATTTTTACCATTTAACCACTTTATAAGATCTTTCCCTTGAATAATAAAAAAAAGGTTTTGAATTGTATTAACTAAAACGGTAATTCCGAATAATAGTTATATGTTGTCAAAACCTTACCCCCAATCTGACCGTACTGGTTGCTGTTATTGGTTGCATCCAAACTAACCCATTTACCACCGACGTATGCTTGAGAAACAACATGTCCGGTAGTTATCTTAGAAAATTTACAGTTCCCATGCCAATAACGAGCAGGTATTTTTTTAGCACGACACAAAGCAACGATTAAATGAGATAAATCACAACAATTGCCTTTTTTTGATACTAATGTGCCAACAGCACCATATCTTGTGTTATAATACCAATCATAAGACA